ACATTTTGTATTTGCAATACACGTGAGTCGTGTGCTAGCAGAGGTTTTACAAATATCGGCCTCGTGGAGATTTGGAAGTTTCTGGCCAAACAACAAACAACCAACAAGTAAGTACAATATGTAAATTTATTATTGCGTTCACTTTTTTAATCATTGTGTATTTACATACATATGTACGTATTTGTAGAATAAATGCCGAAAAGATGTGTATGCAGATGTGCAGAAGTAAGCTCCCTCTACAAGTTTCCTTTGGCCTCGGATGTATCAAGGTATGATGTTTATTTAATTTTATTTGTTTATTAAAATTAGTTAAACTGAATGCTGGATAAGCGATAGCCATCGTCTGGATTTAGTTTTTGTACAGGGTACTCTCGCATTTACTTGTACATTTGTTATGTTAAAATCCAGCCAGACGGAATAGTCTTGCAGTTTTATCGCTTATCCAGTTAATAAAGTTTGACCATAATTTCATTGTAGTGTGTATATGGTATAGCAAATCTGCTATAATGTAGCACACATTGCGTTTCAATGTTTTTTTATTTGTGAAAATTTTAATCATCGCCAGGCTTATTGACCAAGAATGATACGGGAAGTAAATGATCGAAAATTTTCACATCAAACCGGTTTCGTGGACTTATATTTAATTAATAATTTTAACATCGCGCCTTTATTGTATTTTTAATAGCTTTAATCTTTTAATAAGATAGCTAAGATGGTACGTGCTGTTAATTCCTCTTTGTATCTAATTAATTTTAATTAGTATGCGTGGAGTTAAATTTAGTGTAAAAGCAGCAAAATATATTATTATGTACTTCGGTTTTCAGCTGCTTACTAGTAATAAGTCGTAGATTTAAGTTTTTTTTTAAGTTACAGTGTTTAATTATAAAATCGGTATTTTCATATACATGCATGTATGCATGTACTTAGGTTTTCAGCTACCTTCTAGTAATTAGGCTTATGGCCTTATTCATAAAAAAATAAAGTAGGTTTAAAGAGCTTTATAAATCGACGTTTTCATATATTTTTCAATTTATAAACCTATTTTAAAGAAACTTAATTTTTTATGAATAATGCCATTAGACGTTAAACATAAAATTACATAACAAACTACAATTAGTAAGAAAATAAACATAATTATGTACTAATAATAGTTAACTAAACTAATGTTACCAAGGTTAAGAATGTATTCAATAAAGTGTTAAAAACATTAAAATACTTTAACGAGTATCAGAACGTTGGCAACAACGATTTATAAAAGAAAAGGTTGGTAAAGAATTTTTTTAGTTTTCATCAAATGGTATCGGTATATTATTTCGCTCATCACATTTTTATTTAAATCATAGTTTGGTTATTTAAATCATAATTTTTTTTATGTAAAGTATCATTTGTTTTTATTTAAATAATCGTTTTTTTTTCAAATCCAAATTTATTTCTTAGCTTTTTGCTGAATTTCCACTAGCCATTAATTGCCGAAAATTGTAATGACAAAGTTGAAATAGTAGTTATTAAATTAATTTCCACGTGGCATTTTTAAATGCCTCCACTTTTTTTCATTTCAATGCCTTGTGGAAATTCGACATTAGAGTTTGGCATTTGGCATATCAATATTTTTATTTCATTTCATATTTTTTATTTATTTTATTTTATTTATTTGCATTTTTTATAATTTTTATTATTTTCATTTCACTAATTTTTATAGACATATATAATTAAGATGAAGATACTAACTGCTTTTAATTATTTAATAGGCGCTTGGAATGGATGAGGCTCCTTGGAGTGGACGTTAGCACAGAGGCCAAGGAGCTGTATGCGTGCCAGAAGCATTTTTCTCCGAAATATCGGAATGTCAGAAAACTATCAAAAGGGGCTATCCCCGATATGAATTTGCGCGCACCCACAGTAGGATTAGTGTTAGAAAGCTTGTCCCAATCAGATATAAGTGAACAAGTCACCCCAGTAGTTTTTTCAACCCGAATGGGAGAAGAGGAGGCTCTTCAACACACTTTTCGTGAACATCCAACTTGTTCTTCTTTAGGAAATTCAACGTTTGGGGTAGTTAGCCAAGGGACACAGACAGAGGCCCATCTTAGCGAAGAGTCTCCTAGGAAGCGCAAATATAAGGAAGAGATAGAAGTCTTAAAACAAAGGCTAGTTGAAAAGGAAGCACAAATTTCAAATTTGATGACCCAAAGTTTGCCTGTTCAGCGGCAGGATAACAGGCAAATTGAAGCTTTATGCAGCAAAATTCCCCCACATCTCGCGGTATGTGTGAGAAATTGCATGAAGAATGATGGCCGGCCACCTTCTGGTCGAAGCTTCGATAGAAGTTTAAAAACAATAGTTTTAGGAGTTAGGTTTACGTCACCTTTAGCGTATAGGTACTTAAGACCCCTTTTTCACTGGCCTTCCCCAACAACACTTTCCACGTTCGTTAAAGGTTGGCCTAGGCTCCCTGGCTGTTCCACTAGCAGCATTCGATCTCTGGAGTTGCGAAGCCGAGGTTTCACTCGTGAACAAAAGTACATTTCGATATGCTGTGATGAAATGTCTTTAAAGACGCACTTGAAATATGACAAGAGTAGAGATTTTATAATAGGATTAGAAGATTATGGCGATGAGAATCGCACGTCGAGAGTAGCGAATAGTGTTTTATGTATTATGGCTCAAGGCATAGGCGGAGCCCCTTGGTCACAGCCCGTTGCCTATTTTTTCGTGCACGGCTCGTGCAAGGGTGATGTGATAAGGAAATATGTGTTTGAGGTTATAGTTCAACTCCAGGGGATTGGTCTTCATACCTCCCAATTCGTCTGTGATCAAGGATCAAATTATGTTAACTTCGCTCGTCTTGTAGGGGTTGCAGAAGATAGGCCATACTTCGAAGTTAACGGTGAGAAAGTTATATTTTTCTTTGATTCCCCCCATCTGCTAAAGAGTACGCGGAACTGTATCGAAAATAATAAAAATAATGTTAATTTTCGTGGTAACCCTGTTCAGTGGGCAGATATTGTCCATTTCTATCAGCAGGATACCCATCGTGGTATACGATGTGCGCCTAAGTTGACTACGGCACATCTTAAGCCAACATCCTTTGAAAAAATGAGTGTTCGTTTAGCTGCTCAAGTACTAAGCAATACGGTCGCTAGTGCAATGCTTTCTCTGTATAGTACCGGGAATCTAAACACGTCTCAATCTCCAAGCTTTTTAAATACTGCCGAATTTGTACTTTTCTTCGACCAACTCTTCAATATTTTTAATAGTAACGGGATTGGAGCCCTCCGTAAATTTGGTCAACCCTTTTCAGGTAGCACGGAACAATTCGATTTTTTGAGTGAAGCTAAACGAACCCTTCGTTCAATAACTGTTCATGATATACTCTTTGGTCGAGATATCACGAACAAGTTTTCCTTTATTAAAGGCTGGCTTCTTAACATCCAAAGTTTGCGACGTTTGTGGCTTATACTGTCAAACCATGAATTCGAATATATAAGAACCAGAAGACTCTGCCAGGACGAAATAGAACATTATTTTGGTCAAATTAGAAGGGGCAGTGGATTAAATCCAAGAACAACTCCGTGCATGTTCTCAGATCTTTTCAGGCAATCCTGGGGCCTAAGACACGTTAATTTTGTTACAAGCGGTAATTGCGAACCTCTGCCTAGCGCCGAATGGGAAGTTTTTTTCGTTTCGCACCCTTGAAAGGGTGTGTAATGATCCTCTGGTTCAAGACACTTCCTGGCAAACCTTTCAAAGTTTACCCAGACCTAACAGATATCACGATATAGGAAACGGTATAGATGTTGATGTCGTTGAATGCGACTTTCTGCAAAGGAACTCTTTTGCATATTTTTGCGGATATATTTATTTTGAATATTATAAGTTACATACTTGTTTGGAACCATTACCCCAATTTGAGGAAGGAGAAATTCCGGAAGAAGCATTTACTTTCACTAAAGAAAAGGAATATGACAATTTAAATCGTGTAAAAGCTCCTTCTGGATTCATTGAGTTTCTTGCAAAACTTGATGAATCGTTAAACGAAAACTTCGATTCTTGTTGCCATTTAATTGGGTTTTCAAAAGCTTTATTTGAAAAAATGAGTGCTATAGAACCATATTATTGCTGCAGTAACTGTAATCCCGATATTTTGAAACATCTTTTCATTAGAATCAGAACATATTTTTCTTTAAAAATTTTCAATAAAGAGGCATGTACACCTGATTTTAAGCATACTAAATTTCTGTGTATTTCTCACAGGTAGTTTGTATGAATTCCCCGACTCCGGAATTTCATCTTCTTCAGTTGGAAGATTTTTAGTAGAATGCGCACTCATTTTTTAACACTTAAAATTACTTGTTATTATTGAGATACAGTTTCCCTACTCTTTACAGATTTTCTCGACATACTTGTTCACATTTCTCTGGATTTTTGTTATTCATTATTTTTCTTTTAGTCATTTGTAGGTTTAGGACTTACTGTGGGTGCATTTTGTAAATATGTACATATAAAAACAATTGCGATATTTTATTTTATTTAAGTTATGAATTTTACTCGTGCAATTTTTTATGTTTAATAGTTTTAAGAACATTTTTTGGTTTTGTTGTATTCTTTTATTGCATGCCTTAAACTTTTTTACTTTAAGTTATGATGGTGAAGATATGCCTCCTGGGGAACCGAACACCTTTAAAAAATCGGTAACGCGCCTAAACGCATACCTCGAAGGTGGTGTGGAAAGTGCGTTCCAAAATGATTACAATTGTTTAAATAATTTCTTATATTCTACTTATTCACATTGCTTATAATTTCTGTGTTCAATTTGCAGGTGAAAATCAACAGCGGTCCAGCAGCGCATCTTCTCAAAAACGGCGATACATATTCGGTGAACTAACATTTTTTCATACTGAAGGCACACAGCATACAAATAAAGCAGTGTCAAGTGAGGACTGGGAGAGCAAGCGAAGAGGGTCGAGTGAATAGCCGGACAATTAAATTACATACACAAAACTCTGTATCATATAATTTTTAAATAAACATATCTTTACTATACTAAATACCCGGGTTACATCTAGACACTACTTATTAATTACATTGGCACACTCTTATTTATTCAAATAACTAAACGTTTTTACTGTGCATTTTTGTTGTTAATACGGTATTTACATTAGACGATTTTACAGGCAATTTTAGAGGAGATAAGTTGAGTCAAAAGTTGGCTGGTGCAAGAAATTTAGCAAATGCGCGTAAAAGCATGGAGTAGGTATACGGCTGTGTTGCCGCGATTCTCCAGCATCTTGCCCAAGGAGAATACATATTGGTGGCTATCGCAGAATCCATAGTAGTCCGGGTTTTCATAAAATCTACGAAAAAGCTAACACTTATGGAATTCTTCACTGGATACATCACATATTTGAGTCCATGATTCAGTATGATTAGGGTCGCTGCCTTGCAGCAGTACAATGCAATTGTAGACACGTCTCTTGAATTCCTCGTCCTCGTAAAATCTGAAGAAAAAATAAACAGATGAGTAATATATCTTTTTATAAGCGCATTAAACGCGTCTCCCGAAAACTCTCGTCTTTTGAGTTATGACGGTATTTTAGTTTTTTGGTGATATGCAATTTCGGTATCATATAATGGATTTCTTGTTAAATTTTATTAAACTCAGCATAAGGCTGAATGAAAGTTTTTTCGGGTGAAACTCAGAATAAGCCAAAGTACGAACAGTACTTACCTCTTTTTTGATTCCTTGTATAAGTCTTTCAAATCTCCAATCGTCCAGAAAATTTGGGAAGCGGTCCTCTAAGTGCACAATCAGCATAACGAAATGTGTTCACCAATCGCCTAAGTGACGCGTAGAATATCGTGCCCCAGAAACACTAACAAACGACAAGTGGACTCTCCAATAATTGTCAAACGTAATTGACCAATGTGCATCTATGTGATACGTTGCTTGTGGCAAGTTGGTAGGTTAACGCCAAACCGTAAGAGGTTGGAAATCACACGAACAGCATAATCCCTACATTGAATATAAAAAAATTGTTATAAATTTTTGCATTAACATAACCACAGGTGGCGATTGTATATCATGTTTATTTATTTCGTTGGCTATATCTCTGGGCGATTTATTTGTGCCAGCAGTCTATAGTGCTTTTGCCCAAGACAAGATACTATTGCACTGATAATAATCAAATTTAGCTGAAGTTGCATTCACATGTGATATAATAGCTGGTGTCAGCAAGCTGTGGGAATGCCCAGGAGATGGCGTTTGCTCAGCCCTCATTGCACCGACGGCGGTGGGCACTACTGCTGGCACATATTTTGCAACAACTGCAATGGTTGCAGCGTTTTCTTCTGCAACAATAACCTGCAATGATAAAATGTCCTATAATGTCGACGAACAAAAATATAAAATTGAAAATGGCTAACCTTACTCCAAATTGCTAATCGATCCTTTAGCTTCATGTTCTCATTTTCCAACCTTGTGTACACTTCTTCATCTTCCAATTCAATTGATATATGTTCGGAACAGAAAGAAATTTGCATTAATCAATTGTAAATAGTTACATGGAATCATAAATTTATTTAATTTTTTGCCATTTTACAAACAAGAAATATAAACTCACCGCGGTGTGATACAGAAATAAAAACCAACAGGGCTGCATTTTCTTGGTAAACAACATTTTCCACACAAGCGTTCAGAGCAATCTGATCCGCAAAATTATTTTGTGAAACATAATAGTTGAAAATAGTTTTTACACACGATTATCACAAATTATTGTGATTATTTTTAGTTGAATATAATTGTATTACCTTAGACTTTTTTTTAATGTTTTGTAATATTCATTTTTTTGGGACGCAAAAGCAACCATGCGCTCAATTTCTTGTGGGGAAATTTGGTCCCCATAAAGGACTTTCACCACGAAACAGCTACAAAAACAAAAACCTTTTCTACTGGTATACTGTGTATTTAAGTAATAATATATGTTTTATTTTTCACGGCATGTGCCATACGTCCGCCGAAAACAAATGCTCGTTATAAAGCTCTTGCTAATAGGGACACGAATTTCGATACGATACTATATCGATATTTTTTCCATTCGATACCGATACCTTTTAATCGATAGTTTTCAAACGATATTTTTTGGAATCGAGTACCAGAACCCTTGTATCGTATCAAATCGCAAAGGCGCATTACAAAGTTCTCTGACATCACGTTACACGACATTACGCTACTAAAATCTCAATTGAAACTTTTTTGTTAATATTGTTTTTAAATTAATATGAATTATATAATATATTATTTATTTTTATTTAACCCTAATCTTACCAACATAAAAAAGTTACAAATCCTACCAGCATGTGTCTTCAAGACACATATATGTATGAAAATAAAATTAAAAGTATTTATGCGTTAAAGATTGAGACTTATGTTTATTATTTGATTTATTACATTCTGATGTAAAAAAAGTCAAAGTCTGGTAGCAACATCAAGTTAAAAAACACACTGTGTCTCACAGACACATGTTGGTAAGATGAGGGACATACATATGTACATAGGTATATACATATAAAAACATATATAGACAAGTAGTATATTTATGTATCCATATATTGATTTGCCTTATCTATATACAGAAGCATTTTAGGTTATCTTTATTTTACGGAAAATTCAAACTTAAGAGCTTGTGTCTCTGAGACACATGTTGGTAGTTTGTGTTACATTTTTTATTTTGACTTATAAAAACTACAGGAGAATAATTTTCTTTCCTTATTATTTTACTGAACTATTCAGAATAGATGTAAAAAAAAGTCATAAAGTCTGGTGACAATAAGTTGCATCATTACGTAGAAACATCAAGCTTAAAAACAAAATGTGTCTCACAGACACATGTTGGTAAGATTAGGGTTAACCGCACCCTAGCAGTTCCATTTATTGCAAATCTATGTCATACCATGACTTACCGCTGTCTATACTTTGGAATTGATATGTAAAGCAATATGGTTATATTTTGGGCTTTACAGAGCCAAATATTCAGATTTGATTTTTTGAATTTGGTATTGATATTGGAAATATCGGGTATTTTTATCCTGATAATAATGGGAACCCGATATTTTTACAGCGATACTTCAAATGAGTACTACATCGATACTTTCGGTTCGATATCGTGTCCCTACTTTTTATCGATTAGTCGAATAGCGAAAGTTGTTTAAAAAAATAATCGACTTCACTTAATCGATTAACCATTTCTTTTCGACTTTAACAACTAACCGCTCATAGCCCGAACACAATGAAAACGACGAGCTACAACCACAGCTGTCAAATTATTTTAACACGTACTCTTATGTAGATAATTATTTTGGCGACGACCGGGCTACGCGACGGCTGTGTTTGTGGCCAGATTAGATCTATTTCTATTTTTCTGGCGACAGATAAGGTTCTTCCTCTTCTTTTATGTCAAACTCATACAAATTCATGATGTCGCTGCTGCGTTCAAAGAAATCATGTCGCCATCGACAAAGCGCTTAAATAATAAAGATGACAAATTGGAAGCTGTGGTCGGTAGCTCGTCGTTTTCAATGTGTTCAGAACTTCACAAACAACTAGTCGAAATCCAACTAGTACATTTTCGATTTAACGACTAGTTGTTTTCTTTGAGTAAAATTTTTTTTTAATTTTTTAATACTTATGCTTATTGACAAAACCCAACCGCGCTAATACAAATAATTTTATGGTGAAAAACTGCTAATATTCGAATAATTTCGGTTAGTCGATTTTCTGACTACTCGATAGTGAGCGGTTAGACGAAAGCGAACGGTTAGTCGAATGCGAGCGGTTAATCGAGTAATTGCTATTCGACTATCAACCGACCAAAAAGTTACTAATCGACCAGTCGACTAAGCGAGTAGCCGGATAGTCGATTTTTAAAAAGAACTCTAGCTTGTACATAAATAGCTAAATAAAGGCTATTCAAAATTTGTATATTAAAGTGCAAATCGAAATGCATCTACAAATACTTGTAGAAACTATATTTACAAGTGTAGAATATTTCGCTGATAGCTACAAGTGTATAAAATTATATTGTGTTACAAAAAATTCAACAACTTGTAGCTACAAGCGAATCACTAATAACACAGGTTTACAGCAAAAATGTTCTATGAATGCCACTATCCAATTCCTATGTAGAATTGCTCGGTGATTCCGAAAATCGGGTTAATTTTTTTTCTATGGATTCGTTTTCGAGATATTTGCAACTTACTGTTATTCGGCTTAAAGTCAAAATTTATTCCTTTTAATTACGTATATCTTACGAACCAGTTTAAAAATCTTAATATAAAATACGGCAAATGAAAGCTAATGAAATTCTCCATAAACCATATTTACATCACTTTCCGATAGGACTGATAGTTTCTGACAAATTAATTAATCACTCCAGTATTTTTTTATTTTTTTAATAAAAAAATTAAACTTTAACAGAAGAAAAATTTTTAAAATAACAGGCTCTGTACCAAATTTATGCACTTTTACTAAAACTTGTTCTGTTACAAAAAAAAAATCAAGTTACTGATGAAGAAAATCGATGGATAAATACGAAATAATGAGTGGTCAAATGAAAAAGCGCCAAGATTTTTTGTATGGTGTCTGGCGAACATAAACCAAATTAAAATTTGTAATCCAGTGTAATTTGTAAACTTGTTACAATTGTAAACTTTGTGTTACAGTCCCCAGGTGGAGAAGGACTTGGCTTCACCTAGCATTTCCGATTGACGTCAGTTGGAACGTCAGAAAAGAAACGGCTGGCGTGCTTTGTTGAACTCGGCCAAGAAGAGGAGAGAAACTTATTTTTACGCTCTAATTACTGAAATAGCCCGGAAAGCGTGTAGAACAAATCTAGTGTGAGTTTGCCCATCTCTGGTATAAAGCTAAGTACGGACCTTTAAAAAAACGGTCAAGAAATAAATTGCTATTACTTCGTCTGTGTGAATAGCAGTGCCTGAGGAGTTTTGACATCTGTAATTTTACAGCCTAATGGAACAGGCATATATTTCTGTATAAAACAAAGGTGCCTTCACAAACAAACTTTAGAAAACCATAGTAGAAACCCTGAAGAAAAGATTGGTCCAATTGCTCGAAAAATATAGTCCTAGGTATAGTAGTTTTGTATCTACACCAATGATAGCACAAAAATTTAAAGCAATGTAATGTAACACAGGTGAATTGTACTAAAAGTGGTCCGAATGTAATGCATAGGGTATGAGTTTTGTTCTAAAATTAGTTACAATGTCACACAGTAGCGGACAATGGGTATGATTAACGATTTACTGATATGTAGGCACTTAGTCAACGAATTTTCATGTGCGGCGTTGGCATGTAGAGAGAGTATCCGCTTACAGTGTAGTTTGTGGTGTGCTCTAAGTCTATTCCGAGATCCTACAGGGTAGCATAGCAAATTTCTTAAGAACTTAGTAGTATTAGAGCAAAACCAACAATTACGTGTATTTTATTGTTGCTTCTGGTATCGAAAGTGTCAGTGTGTTCTGATTTTTTTTCTTTTAAATCAAAGTGTGCTATGTGTAATACAAAAACTAAAAATAAAAATTTAAAATCGATGCTCTGGTCGTGCTGTTCCATAATCTGACGATTATCTGGAGGGGTTTTCTTAATCTGACGGGTTAAAAAAATAATTTCGTTTCTAAGATGCACAGTCAACCAAACATATATTATTGTAAACACTTATTGGCCCCTATTATGAGTTGCATTCGATTTTCGATCTTCGCTGGCTATCGAAGATCGAAAGTGAAATTCGTATTATGAGCTATGCAAGCGTGTCGAAATTTTCGTTGAGAATCGAATTTTTCGTCGAACAGAATTTTGCTTTCGTTGGTGTAGCGAAATGTTAGCAAATTTTAAAAATGTATGATTTTGCATTTGTTTTCTTTTCTGTTTTTTTGGCGGCTAGACACTAATTTTAAACAATTTATATTAATTTCAAGCAGTTCTAACGTCATGAATAGTAAACACAAGCTCGAAAGTCTGGTTTTACATATGAAAGAAAATCCCTATACGCTGTTGGCACGATCTCTGAAAACAAAATCATGGAGCTGTTTATAGTTTTAATATATTTTAAATAGATTTGGATCACAAAATTTCTTAAATATATTGTATGTCAAAATATATTCGAAAGACTCCACTTAAACTCTCACGTTTTCTGCTCTTGGCCAGTTTTTTAAGCCCTCATCCTCTGACGAATCGTTCAACCAGACCTCCGTTGTGCTAATTACAACTTTTTTTTACCACGCTTTTATAAACTCACTTTCTTGTTTATTTCATTTTAATTTGCACAAATTGACATAAGTATGTACATATGTATAAGCACTCTATTTATTTTGCTCGATCTGTAAACAAAGCTTCTCAGCGGTGAAAAATATACTATTGTGAACAACCTAAACGAGCGAAATTTACAATAGCGCTATTCTTCATCGAATGAGCGCCATAATACCAAATGAAAATTCGTTCGATCAGCACTTTCGACCACAGTCGAAGATCGAATGCAACTCGTAATAGGGGCCATTATTTATCTGAGCAACTATCATCATACAACAAGTCCGGTTCGACTTGGTCGTCAATTTCTTCTACATTTTTCCTATCTGTTATTGACAATCAGCATTCTGCATTTCGACTCGAATCGAAATTTTCTCCGTTTGGCAACTTAAGTATTCTGCGTTCCGCTTCCTTTCGATCAATCTTCGAAATTTACGATTATACCTATTCTACATTTCGATCGGAGTTATAAGTTGCAAATTTCTTGACGGAGAACGTTTCGATTGTTATTTT